GAAAAAATGAGCCTGACCAGGAGTGTTGGAATGTGCGCCCTGGGTGTCCTCTTGAATTGGTAGGATGAAATTCTGGGGGCAAATTAGCTGCTTGCAACCAAAGAAACAAGGCAAATCGAGACACCCCCTCAGCAGTGTAACGTTTCCTATGTTATTCTGGATGGATTGTCAGGAGGGTGTTTAGTCGGGCCTGCAGAGCGTCTCCTGAAGTTCATCTTGTCACGAGGTCCCTGTTCAATTTGAGCATGCTATGAAAAAAATGATACGTCTCACACCACTCACTGCTGCTAAATCTGCTGTAGTTTGATTTGTATACATCATTGGCATTGCTGTTAATGAGCGTAAGGTACATAGATTAGCCCCAGTTTAATAACCTTGGCACGTCTTCGCTGAGAGTAACATGCATGTTCCCTTTCTACGGAGTAAGTAATGAGCCTCTATCATGCTGGAGGTTTGGCAACAGTCACATGCACTTTCATTTGTGTTGCAGGACTTGACTGAGTCTGATAAAACCAAAGTGACACTGGATCCCAGTGCAGCCAATGGCATCATATTTGATGCATTGTTAATAGAAAGAGGAGAACTTGCTATTTCATCTCGTCACTCGTGGGGCTGTTGTAAAGAGGCCGCGGTTTTTATTCTCCTGGCGAAACGTGTTGTGTTTTTTTTTTTTCATTTTTATCCCGATTTTGAAATATTCATTTTTAATCTTTTCTTTGTCCCTGTCCGCATGGCTGTGTGCTCGCTCCCTGGGAGAATGAATCTTTCTTTCGCGCTGAAGCATCATGTTACTACAGTGTAAGGACCCCCTTGCTCTCCATCTCCGAATGTTTTATTTTACAAGAAAATAACATGGGCAGGGCATCCGAGAGAGAAGCTGGCATCTAGACTCCAAGCTTCAGGGACCTGGTAACAAAAGGCAGTGTGCACCCCAGCGGACATCTTCATGCACTCTGTGAATCCACAGAAAGCTCTGCAGTTGAGTTTCTTCAGTATTATTGTGATACATCACTTCTGACTGACAAGGGCCTATACAGAGGGAGTCTATGTTGGTGTAACAAGTAGGTGCTTAACAGTCCTTTTGACTGGTCTGACAGCTTTCCTTTTCCTTTTGTTTAAGAGCTTTGCGGGATGACAGCCTGCTTCTGCAGGCAGGATTCTCACTCTGTGATACGGCAGGTGCCTCTTAAATTGAGAAGACCAGGTTGCACAGCACACAGGAGCCATCCCCAGTGGCCTGTTCCGATCTGGTACCGCAATGGGCCACACAGGGGAAAAAAGAGACACCTGGGCTTTGTCTGCATTACTGATCAGCCCATCAAGCCGTTACCTGGTTTGTTAACTCGCCCTCGGTGCCAGTTCAAGCTCCAGTTTTGCTGGTATTTCCATACTGGACCCAGTGCTTCCTGGAGTGCTTTTTAAAAATTTCCATTAGGCTTCTGGTGATAAGCACAACCACCCTCGATGCACCCTTACAACAAGCCTAGCAGCACTGCATACGTTGGCATGATCTCAAAGCACCCCCGTGCTTCACTCCTCTATGAGTCAACTATACCTGAGCGTCACTTTGACTCAATAAAGGATCTTAAGGGTTTCGCTCTATGGTGAGACAAGCTCAAAAGGGTGTCGTTGGGGGATCAGAAAAACACACCACAGTTTGCATGACTGTACAGAAGTAGAAGCACTCGACCCACATCTGCTAATGTGGATAATACAGCAACGCACAGTTTAGCGGAGCTCGCAGAGACTATTCTGTGAACCCCACCATTGAGATCTGAGATTACATATTCCATTTTCTATGTGAAAACAGAAATATGTATCTCAAATCACTTCCGTTCTTGTCCTTGGACAAAATGACCCAATGATGCAGGTCTGTCTCTTCCCGAAGCTGTTCAGATGAAGCCTCAGTTGCTTGTTTAACTTGACACATAATTACGCTGGAAATGTTTGTGTATTTTGTCTGACTGCCACGGCCTGTAATGCGATGACTGCCAAGAGTTTTACTGCCTCTGCTGCCACCTCTTCTAGCGAGGATCTCTGATTAAAACAAGATGGCTTCAATCCCACAGAGGCTCAGCAGGAATGAGCACAGTTGGCCTCTTCCTCAGCAAACATTATTAACAGAGCATCTGAGGGGAAAGTAACAGTATTCTGCACTGAGAAATAGTACAGAGCTCCTTTCGGACCTTTGCAAGTGTCAATTCCATTCTGTATCTTACAGAGCTAATCGAGGCGTTGTCTGAGGATTCTGGGACAATTAAATACTCAAAGCAAAAGAAAAAGACTTTAAGGAAAGGACCAATGTGGGCAGCACAATTGAACAGTGGTGGTGCAATGGGTTCAATTCCTAGGGTGCTGTCTGTGTGGAGTTTGTGTGGGTTTCCTCCAGGTGCTCTGGTTTCCTCCCACAGTGCAAAAACATCCTGGTAGGTTAATTGGCTTCTGGGAAGATTTGCTCCTGTGTCTGTGTGTCTGTCCAACAATGGACTGGTGTCCCATCTATAGTGTATCCTGTTGCTTGCTGGGATAGGCTCCTAAAGCAGTTAGAAAATGGATGGATGGGACTAATATTATTGATTGATTTTGCTCTGACAGGTCACTGGCTCCCACAATTCAAAAAGGAAGGAGTGTGAGATGAGACAGTCCCTCCAAAAAAGTCAGATTAATCCATTGTAATACAATGTAGGAACAGAGAAAAGAACAGTAATTTAAATTCTAACTCATTGACAAATAATTGTAGCAAGGAGAAAGAGGTGTGAAAGTCTCATGCCTAAACACATTGTGGCACGCTCCTATGGCTCAAGTGACACAGTTCATCAGAACGTTAACAAGGCCATAAAATACAATCATTCCTGGCATGCCTTAATTCCAATTGTTAGACATCAATCTTGGAGAAAAATCATTGCTCACTTTATTGGATATTGCTATTTTGATGTATTTTTTGTAATCTTAGACCTTTACAAATAATCTTCCATTAGAAAGTCTTCAGAACATGTCCTGCTTGTATTTTCTATGTATTAAATTCTGTTTAATTAGCTGAAGAAAGATGCCTTGAAATTGGGAAAATAGGATTTTTGTTATTAGAGTACGACTAAGATCACACTGTCAGTTCCCTTAATCTGAAAACAAGTTCTACATTGGTTATACAATGGTTTACACTAGTTAAGACAGCTCTAAAGACATCACAGAAAGATTTCATACATTATTTTTTCTTTAAATAATTAACTGCCTTCTTTACACATTGTTTAATCTCATAAAATTTGTCTATAATGGTTCTGCTAAGGCAATTTATAGACAATGGTTCAAAATTGCCATGCAGAATTATACAGACAATTGTTGCAAAAACGGTTTTGGCAGAATTATATAGAATAGCATCCTCCATTTAGAAGACCTGTTGGACCTTTGACCTTGAACTGTCACCTGTATGAGCAGAATGTTACTATTATCATATCTGTTGGGGCCTGCATCCTATTTGTACTGCAAAGTCAAGCCTGTAGATATCTTCAGAATAACACAAATTAGAGAGCACAAATGTGAACTAAATGGCAGTGCATTTGATGAGATACGTCTTTATGCAAAGGGTTGTGGGAGTCTGGAACAAGCTATCCAGCCATGTTGACAAAGCTGATACTCTGTTGGGTGGATGAGACCTTGGATCTTGTGCTTTTATGGCCCAGATCTGGAGTAATTGGCATGTGGCTCTTTAAGTTCACTTCATTAGAGTACTTTAATACAGGCGATACCTTCGCTGTTAAATTGATCTTTCTGATAATCAATTAGACGTTTAAGGAGGTTCCCTTCCTTAATTAGTTTGTGGGCTAAATCCATAGCAAATTAATGAAATGGGTTATCTGCCCAGGAATTTAAAAGCTGTATTGGTATTCATCCTATGTTTGCTCTAAAAAAAAACAAAATAATATCTCAGTTGCCAGCTTCACTGTTCTTTAAACATCTATGTATTTCTAGTCTTAAAAATGGAAAAAATGTATAATTAAAAACATTAGTATAATATGAGGTAAACAAAACCCACTTGCCCTAAATCCATGCTAAGCTGAAAACTCTCCTACAAATGAACCTACAAAGCACTGATGAGTCTTGTGATAATTGCTCGTAATTTGTATATGACTAAGCTGGGGGTTGCCTGTGTATAGGCAGCAATTATATATCATTTAGCATCATCATGGGTTTGCCTTGTGGAAAAGGGCGTGCTTACAAGTGGTTAAAACTCTCATCAGGGAGAGTCTTAGAACCCAGCTTATGAGGTCTGCAGCTGAAATCCGCGTACGTCAAGAACATTCGTTTTCTCTGAAACCGGAACTTTAGTTTTAATCCATGTTTCATTTGACAAGAGAAGGGTCTTGTCTAGTGTGCAAGTAAGATAATTACAAATTACCACAGCAATTGTTTTTGAAAGTGAAGTCCATTAATGTTCTTTAGTGCCAGTCATTTTTTTTTTCCACGCAGAGTAATTAGTAAATCAAAAATCATCTCTGAATGAGTTTGAAATCACTGCACGGCATTAAGTTTCCAAAGAGATGCAACTGTAACAGCACATATCCTGTGACTCCAGGATTCACTCTCCAGAGTGTTGTGAACAGCTTTAACCATAAAAAAGACAAAAATGAACAAAACAGGAGTAGTCTTTCCTTTTTTTTTTGGTTGATATTTTTAATTTAACCTTGATTTAAGTAGTAAATCTAATTGACCTTGAGGTCCTTTCACAAGGAACACTTGAGAGAGGGACTGGGGCTAAGAAGCAGTTAACTCAGAGGGTGACGCTGTTAAGAACATAATATCATCCCCCAACCAGAGGCCATTCAGACTTTCCAACTCTTTTGGTTTCTAGTAGCTAATTGATCAGGGGTTCTCAACCAGCTGCTTCCTGAAAGAAGCCAAGGTGTTGGCTCACAGATCATGGCTGGGTAACTTACTCCAGACTCCCACAACTCTCTGCGTAAAAAGTCTCACCTTTTCTCAGGTTTCAACACTTCCCTTTAGTTTCTGTTTGTGTCCCCCGATTCCCTTTTCCCCGTCGATTCTGAAGTAGTCCAGAAGGGTCCTGAATATCTGAATCATGTCCTCTCTGTATTCTCCTCTGTTGAAGACAAAAGAGCTTCAGTGTCTTCCGCCTGTCACTGAATTATTCACCTGACCTCCAGAATAAAATGTCACTTTTCACTGGGTTGTATCCAGAGCAGCAATATCTTTTCCTGTGGTACAATATTCTTAAATGAAGTCATGTTAGTGCAAAAGGTTTTGTTACTGTTTCTGCTAATCATGACAACAGGATTATGACTCCTGGTTTTTCAAAACAACACTGTAGATCCATCATGCATTGACCCTCACTCAGAAAGTCACAAGGATCTGTCTACAAGGTCTTGGCTTTGCTTATCTCTCCAGATCTGGTTAAATCAGAGGTCAAGGTGGAATAGCTATTAAGAATTTTACTAAATCCGTAAAAAAAAAATATTGTCTTCTTATACATAATCCTACTGCATAATACACTGCCGAACATCCAGTGTTTCAGTAATAAATATGAGTTATGCTAACAAATACATGTTCTAAAAAAAAAAGTATTCACATTTTTCTGATCATGCAAAATGCAGCTGGCTTGCTTTGGGTCAAAAACATTGCCTCTCATGCCTAGGAACAGTTTCTTCAAGATCCAACAACCAATATTTCAACTACATGGTTGGTTTTCTGTAAAACGGTATAATTTCCGAGTAACAAGTGACATTCAAAGAACTCTAGGAAATACTGGGAGTAAATAAAATCACCAGATTTGCCTTCCTGCACCTGTTACACGATTTAACAGCCCTGTTAAAGACGTTCTGGGAAACCAATTCATTTTATCTGACCTGATGAAATAGGAAGGGTTTGCAGTGGTCAGCATTTACGAACAGCATCCCACACAACTTTTAACATTTCTTTGCACTGTGTCCTACAGGAAACCCTCAGTCAAATAAAACAAGTGGAGTGCATCGATGCTCTGTCTTGTTCTATATGCTGGCTGGAAATAAATGAACTTTTAAATGGAGCCTTGGCAGAGATACTGGATATTGATTGATAGGTGCACGGGCTAAAGTTTAAGGGCACAGCTTCCTGGGTCTGACTGTAACAGTAGTAATGAAATTGATTGGGCCGGGGAGCGTGACAACCAGGCAGAGTCAAGCCCTTGATGTAAGGAAACAAGAGTGACTTCTAATAGGGGTGTAATACAGGTCTTCAGAGGACATTAACCATGCTGAGGGGAAAGGGACGGACCTGTGGGTGAATCCTACGCCAATCTCAGCAGATAAACTCTTCAAAGCAGTTTGAAATAAAACATAAGAGAACACGTCCGGGAAATGCAAGCTGTTCATTAAGCTCCCACAGGATTTATCTGTGGGTCTGGGAACTACTGGTTCGGAGAAGTAATCCCACACAAAGCACCCTGTTGTCCTGAAGGTACCGATCCTGACCTGGGTTCGTGTGTTTAAAAGGTGCCTGTAAAAAAAACCCCACCGAAGCACAGATTTCCATTTTCCTTCATAGACTGGGGGAGGGAATCTACTTTTACTTAAACATGTTTTACCACCCAAGTGCTTGGGACACACAAAACACAATAGTGCAGCCAGAGCCACAAGGAAGGAGAGATTGTGACGGAGCTCGGGACAGCACGGGAGGAGGATCCCAGGGCGAGCGGCTCTCCCATGCTTCTCCTGCGGTCCTGCGTGTGCAACGCGTTGCATTTTACAACCCCAAGTGCTGCTGCCACATGCTGCGACTGGACACAGCCCCTTGAAAACAGAGCATGGTAACTGCTGTGTGCAGCCCAGTGGAGCCCAGTGAGATCATGGCAAAAGCCAGTAAAGCAGAGAGAAATGTGGTTACAAATTGTGTGCTTGGTCGTCTTTCAAAAGGGTTTTGGGTGGTTTGGCTATTAGTGGTGCTGCCTTGGGTCAGGGTGTTGATTCCAGACCGGAAAGCCTTCTGTGCGGAATCTGCATGATCTCCCCTGTGGTCATGTGGGGTTCATGTGGGTCCTCAGGTTTCCTCCCTTCCTTTCTACCCAAAGACATGCTGAATGAGGTACGTCTTGTCTCTAAATTGTCCCTGTGTGTGTGGGTAGGTGTCTGATCAAAGGCGTGGTCCTTGAGCCATACACTTTCAGGATAGGTTTTGGGTTTCCAGAAATGGGAATCCTTAGAATTCTTGGATTCTTACCTTGGATATGTGGGTTCCTGATAATGGATGGAGAAGGAATTGCTTTTCCTTAATGCCATATTTAAAACAGCAACAACAAACTAAGTGATCAGACTGAGAAACAGCTCATCACAGTGGAGTTCAGGGACAGTACCAAAACAAATTTCCTTACAAACACTGCTGAGGAATTATTTAGTATTTCAAGGGCGTGTGTGTTCCTTTATTTGAACAGGTTAAAAGCCACCCAAGCTCTCTTGTCCTAAAGTGTGGAATCGAAGGATTACAAGTCAGTGAAAAAAAAAAGCTCTGCAAAGTTAACTTTCTGGAATGCACAAATACCAGCAGGCTTTGTTAAGAACTTAATCATCAATTAAAAATCAACCAACCTTTCCTGAATTTTTCAATGCAAATACCTCTTTGTATGGAGACTTAGACTGACAGATCGCTGTGGTGAAAATGAGAAACAGTGAAGAGCCACCTGCTCTATTTTCTGAAGCATTTTACAGTATTATACCAACATGCTATCAAGTGTGACTTTTTCATCTCAGGTACAGTTTTACCACGTGTTTTTTTTCCAATGTGATTTAATTTTGAACTTATTAAGGTTAATTTGATTAATCTCATGCTCATACGAACCTAATTAGTGGGAGCTTAATTAAGTGAGATTCAATAACTGCATACCCCGAGTTGGAATCAAGGGCTGGAGAGGTGTGCACGAACACAGGAAGTTCTATCCCAGCACGTGATTTCTCCAGCCACCTGAGGAGAGCAGTCACCACTCCGTGAGACTGTCTCATTTATAAATTTAGACCCAACAGTTTGTAAGAATGTGTGGAAATAATTATGCGGTATCTTCTCTATGTACTGTACACTTGTGCACAAGAGACACCATCTCTTCCTGCCGGATGTGTTAGCAACGAGGATGGGAGCAGGATTCCCAGAGGTTCAGACAGGCAAGGGCTGAAACACGCAGCTTGAGCTGTGCTCCCAGCAGACCTGAAGCCGCTTGAGCAGGCCCACGATCCCAGCAGGTTCATTCGCACCTTTTTCGCGAATGATCGTGACTTTCGAAAGAAAAGGACCGATGTTTGAGCACACGAACGCGTCGACGCCTCCTCCAGGATCCCTTCATCCAGAGAGCAGGATCAGTGTCAGAATAAAAACCTGCACTTGGCGAATCCAGCCAGCCGCTCGTTAGCCAGGCCTTCAAACGAGTCAGCCTGAAGCTGCAGGCAGAGCAGGCACTTAGTGCTGAGCCGTCAGAGATCACCTCTGATTTTCAGTCAGAGGACACAATGGGAGTGGGGGGGGGGATAATTAAAAAGGCATTACAAACCTATATTTCATCTTTCAGGCTTTTGTTGAAACCCTCACTTTTCCAGAGGTTAAAAAGCTCAATATGTGTTTCTAATATATTTAAGCAGGGGGGCTGTGGTACCGCAGAGACACCTCCCTGAGATCCATTGACCTTGCCCTATCAGGCCTTCACTGCCTGTTAGACACTTATCAATCACAGCTGGGTTTGTGCCTGCTGCTTCCTCCTCCACTTTACTTAGCCTGGAAAATAATGGCTGAAATCCATTTATCTGCCATTTCTAACAAGTGTGTGACATTAACGAATTATCTGCTTTCTCTAAGTGTGGACACGGTACCCTCCATAGGTTTCCTTTATTTAACCGGCCAAGGTCTCTTCCTTAAAAGGCCTGTTTAGATGGAAGCATTCGGAGATGTTTCTTTCAGGTAATTAAAAATGCATGTACTTTCTGCACTCGCGGGCTTAATTTGTAAGTGTGGTACGGCTAAAGTTTTGGATTCCAACTATTTCCCTTGTTTTCTTAGGATTCTTTCATGTCCGTTTTTGCTGGTCCGGGTGGCAAATTAATGTAATTATGGATTTGGAGGATATTGACTTGTTGTGAAAGCTGCTTCTTCCAGTAGAAGCACTGGAAACACAGGGTTTAGTCTGGACAGACCCCTGCATACATCTGCAAGGCACAGGCACCACACACAGCACAAAGAGTGTAAACACTTACAATTAAAACAATTCAAGGCAGTGCTGTCATTGACACATACTGGGGTGGCTAGTGCATGTGCTTACTCTCTTGTTTTTTTTGCAAAGATGACTCAAAACACTGCTCTGAGTAAAATGATGCATGTATTTTTCTAAACAATGACTTCCCACCATCTTGGGAACAAATAGTTCTGATTGTAGGCAACAAATTAAAAAAATCTATTAAAAAAACGAATCCTGATTTCAATAGCAAACCAAGAGAAGAAATGACAATTTACAAATGTTCCAGGGAGGTATACATAAAGAAGATTGGAAATCAATTCTTTTTGTCTCAGTCTCCATGCCCATGTCTTGCCACACAATTAAAATATTAAGAAAATGCCACATGAAACCAGAAAACTGCCACCTTTACCTGATTTCTTACCTGAGCAGTCATCGAAACACAAGGGCTGGGTGTGTCCCTTTACCAAGACTGCAAAATCATTTGTTTAGTTTCAGCTGTGTAACCTGTTATCAAACAGTTCAGCTCTTGTGGATGTAGGGGTGAAAGGAGTGGAGCACAGAAACAATGCAAACTGTGCAATATACCTCAGTTGTTCATGACACCTACTTTGTGTCCAGTTAGAGCAGGAGGCTGGGGAGTCCCACTGGGGCGTTAATGGGATAATCTGAGCAAAGGAGCATCCTTGTCATGAACACAGGAAGCTGTGTTTTACCTTGGTCAGCTACGGTGTGTCATCTTGCATTTGCACTGGGTTGGAGTTTTACCTCTGAGCTCCAGACCTGTGCAAAACAAGAACAGAACAACCCTGTTTTCCTTCTTCTGTATAGCAAAGCCTGCACATTTAGGCATTTTTAACACACGTAATTTTAAATATTCCATTGCATTCCTTGTACTTGATTTCTATTTAAAATGTTCATGATTATTTTATTTTGTAACATTAATGGAAGTACATTTTGGGGGGCATGTCGGGCATTTGCAATTCATATTTGTCTACATGATTACATTAGGAGTGTGTTCTGTCATATTTGATTAATGTTGCTTGTTTTCTTTAAAACCAGATTAAAATATGAAAACTGACAGAAATGAGGCTATTACAAAGAATTATCAATTTTTAATACTCTACTCAAGAAAAAAAGGAACTGGTGTACAAATGAACCGCTCAGAAATTCAGTAATGAGGGTTTTGCAACTACACTAGCAATCAGAGTCTGGCTTCAAGACTGAGCTCTCTCTGCCTGTTACAGACATACAGACACATCTAACACGACAGGCGTCTGTACTGAGTGCATTAAAGTCACAGGCCCAAACAAATAATGTTATTGGCTGCATGAACATTCATATTTCCATTATTGTGTGTTTGTGATGCATGTCTGGGTGAGCTTGTGCTTACACCTTCACAGAAAATAACACAAAAAATAGCCATTTTGTTTGGCTATGGGGCAGTTTTCTGGGGACTTCACTCCAGAAGCTACCCAGTGGTCACGAAGGTCATTCATTCACCATTCACCTTATCTGCGGTTGTGATTGCTTCCTACAGTATATCTCCTATATGGAATGATAATGTTCAGTGCTATTACATTATATAGACAACAAATATATAGTGGGATTATAAACCCTGCACTACATATCCATAATTCATGTTTCGACAAACCGCATTAACGAGCAATTTCCTGTTCAGCTGATCTTAAAACTCATGAGCTGTAATGCTTTCGCATTTGGCTTTAGGACATTTAAGACCTTCCATGAATAATCTGTCTTTATGCAAATCTAGGAAAATAAATACAGGTAGTAGACCTACTAAATGCTGCTGGAGATGTGGTTGGAGTCAAATCGTGTTTCATAGGATTCTGGTTTCACTTTCTTTTATTTGCTTGATATGTATTGATGTTATGATATGCTACTGAAAGTCTAGAATCATAGAGAAGCTTTCTGGGGGAATTCACAGAATGAAACAACAGAATTCCTGACTGGAGAAATGGGAAGGTACATTTCAGAAGGACACTCCAGGAGGTGAGCGTGTGTGTTTTGGGATAAGGTATTCTCTAGAAGATGTCAACTGGGGCTGAACTTCAATTCTATAAGCAGAGGCCAAGTGTGACCATTAATGAATACAAATTAAAAGGGGGCCTTAATGTTTGACCCTGTTGCTCAGAGGCTGAAGCCATATGTTATTAAGACAAACATCAATCTGAGCTCTCAGTGCTTGGCCATCTTAATGTTCATCACTGGGGATGCGATCAACACAGGCAGGTTCAGATGCCAAAATCAAATTGAACCGCATTCATGGAAAAAAAACATTTTTGGATATCCCGATGAAAACTGTAACATTTCAAACTCCACCTCTAAATTTAGCTCCCATCTACACACTATTAAAACAGTTTTCCTTGCAATGTCTGCAAATTCTCTATTAGTACTGTACTGTATAGATCACCTTGTCATATCATGGAATACCTGTGACTCCCAATATTTCAACAATGTGCTTTTTTTAAAGAAGAGTTTTAGAGTCACTCCTCACGTCCCATTCTGTTCTGTTTGTTTTCCGAAGGCACAACAGCACATAAAAAAAAAAGCTTTTGCTTTGCTCAAAAATGTATACTGTGCTTTCCTAAATCACATCCACGTGTTCGAGAAGATGACACTGGGACGCCTATCGCGGTCTCTGAAACGCCAAGTCTTTGCAGTGGAGAGGGAGTTTTTGAGGTTGGATAACATGACAACAAAGTACTGCTCAGTAATGAGCTCCATCTGCCCCACAATGGCCCTTTTAATGTGCTGGAGGGAAGCATCCAAAAAGCTCAGCGTATTCTTGGAAAGTGTGAAACCAAACTGAAATGTGGTTTGTCAGTGGCTTTAAATGAATAGCCTGGCAGGCTGCTCTGTTCAGACAGCCGAGCTGGTTACGTTCTTGGTTTGCGCCCAAGGATCTGGTTTCTGAGTCTCACTGCTCTGTCAAGGGGCTTCATCTCACAAGCATTTCCTCCGCACAAGTTTTGATCATGAACGCAAACACCCCATGGAAAAAAACATCTCTCGGACAGATGTTCGATTAAAATCCGAGCACTGTTCTATTTCATGCTGGACTTCCTATCTGCTTCCCCTTTTTAAGTCGATACCACAACCACTCCATTGTCTGTGTCTATTTCTGCGGTCTAAATTATTAATACAGAAATCATGGGGGGGTTTCCCTGCTTGTCCAAGGTGCCACAGCCCAAGAACAGAAAGACTGATCCAAGAGCTCAGATCAAAATCTTTTGTAACGCTGCCTTTCAGCAATGTCTTGAAAATAAGCTCTTTAATTTCGCCTTTATTTAAAAAAAAACAGAGTAAATGACATCTAATGCTACAGTATCTACTAATGGATGGAGCCACTGTTTTTGTCTCTCATCAGGTGCCTTTTAATATGAAAACATTTGGCAAAATGAAGTGTTATTACAGGTTAAGGGGTGAATGATGTTGGAAATGAGATGTCCAACTAAGGTGGAGACCAGGAGTCTTGCTCTCCTTTCTCACAGGGCTACGGTCTCTTCTGCTTTTCAAACCTACTGGGGTTCATGGTGTAGTGCTATAACCAGTGCTCTCCTCTGTCTCCCTTCCAAACGTGCTCCATGCGGCTTCAGTAAGATTTTAATAAAGCGCGCGTTGCCGTTGTTTTCTGGCTAATGACTTAAAAGGCTGCTGATTTGAGAAACGGCATCAACAGAACGTTTTGGAGTCTGATGTATGAGATTCATCCAGTAAGCCAGCTAATTCCATCAGACAGCCAAGAGCCGAGAGTGTGAAGGGTGCGAGCTCTGCTCTCCAGACAGCGAGCGAGAGGATTCTGCACAGTCTGGGTTTCGAATGGGTGACGTCACTGACCTCTCTCCCCCCTGGCAAGAACAAACCTCCCCACGGTCTTCCTGCTGGGTGTCACAACCCTGGTTTCGTGAGTAAGAACAACACCCAGGAACGGAAGCATGTTTGAGTGTTAATCTGTTGTTTAAATTCGCTGAGGCCGCTCGGCTGAGCACAGACCTCCTGGCCACTGGACCCGGAGGCCGGGACGCCCTGCAGAGTGAGGAGTGACCAAGGGGCAGCTGCACAGGTAGAGAAGGAGTAAAAATCTGAAGCAGAAAAGGCTTATGTATAGTACTCAAAAACCTAGGAAATTGTCAGGAACAATTCCAATTTAGGGCAGCTGAGGTGTGTTGACTTGGCAGCTGCTATCCCTCCCACACTTTTGTGATAAACTCCCTGTTGATTTAAAATATTATTGGAAAGATCAGACATTTCACCAACAGATGTCTCTCAATTTAGCCGAGATCTGGCCTGACCTCCTGATCTCAGTTCTCTTGTCTACTGCTTCTTTACCAAATAGAGGAAACAGGAGAGGAGAACTGTGAAATTTAAGTTTGGGATCTGTTCAGACAAAATTTGCGTTTTTTAACCACCACACTAGGAAGGTTCTTTCTAATAAACTAATTTGAAAGATAGAGAAATAAAAATTAAGGTCTCTGTTGTGTTTTTTTTTTCATTTAACCCCACAGTAAATGTATCACTGGGCAGATCTGGAAAACACTGGGTTTTAATTTACTTCAAAGGAAATAAACTAACCATCATCTGTTGCTGTATTGTAAACAGCTTTTAGCGATTTCTGTATTTCTGTTGGGAAAAAGGAGGAAGGCAAAAAAAAATCACATAAAATGATAGTATGTGGATAATTGAGAAGTTTAAAAACAGGAATCTAATTGTGCAGGTCCCACTGGGGGCTGATATTGAACTATCTTTTGAAAGGCCCTGTGTATCCCTCTGATGATTTATTGCTAAATCCCAGTATTTTTCAATACATTATAGTTTTTAAATTGTGTTTAAATTGAGTGTAGAAGAGCAGAGGCCATTAGGAGATGCAGAAATGAAGATTATATTTAAATATTCATGCACCCGGTACCTTATTATTGAATCTGAACACTAACAAAATCAATATTAAGTGCAGTTTGACATAAATTTATTTATGAATTTCGACTTTCTAAGTACTGTATTTTTTCGCTCAAAAATTGTGAGTATAATGTAGTAATGATATCAAAACAAAGTGTCAGAGTGCATTAGCTAGGTAGCTTACGAACCTCCAGATAAAACAGCCCCAGCGCCTCCACAGGGATGAAAAAAGCGCTTACTCCACAGAAACGTCTCTTTTTACAAACATCACTCATTTTATGGCCCTGTATCGCAGTCCCCCACATGCTGCGTGTGATAGTTTGAAAACGACTGGGCTGTCTTTGTTGGAGTGCTAACTCTGAGGTCATCCTGAACCTCTCCTGTGTGGTTCAGGGCTCCAGTGAGGTGCTGTGCACCAGTCTGTCAGCAAACCAAACACCTTTCTTCCTCCTACTCCCAACATCTGTCCCTAATCTTTCTGATTTTCTTCTTCCTAAAGATACAAAATCAATGCTGTCCTCCTAACGATATTAAAAGAGGAGAATGCCCATCTTATCTTAATACATTGGCTATTGATTTATTAAAATCCACATCTGTCTGTTTTACCATAGAAATGTTAACATAATTAAATATATATGCAACAATGGGGTGTAATCCATATTTTATACATTAAACTAATGTGCATGCTTTTTTAAAGGTTATCGTGTTTTATGAAGACTACTAATACAGTTTGTGACATCTGGCGGTAAACATTTAAACAGAAGCACACATATAGCACATCCGTTTATATAGCTCAGTACTCTGACAAAAATTCAAGAGAACACATAAATAAATAGACCTACGCCAGTGTATCTTATTTTTGTTGCTTCTTACCGTTTCTTGTGGGACATCGATTGTGAACAGTATCTTTACTAGCACATAATCATGTCTCAGGCAGAAACCAGTAAGATTTAAGACAACTTACATTGGAGTGTGCTCATTCTGTTTGGGCCTGGGACATAAAAGGTTTATGTGTCATGAAGATCAAGCATAAGAAAAGAGGATGTTGTATTTTAGCATGGGGAGGACGGAGCCGGAGACAAACACTGAGGTTCCACAACTCAAACGGGATTCTGTCCATTTCAAAACCATCCCTGTGGCTGCGGGAGTCCTCCCAGATTTCTTACCGTTCCGCACACTTTTGACTGCGGTTTCATGTGCACCCTCCCTGTGCAGCTGGGCCCTGAATTCCTGGCTCTCTCCACCCGGCATCTTCATGCTCCTGGCACGCCCAGCCCAGGAAAACAATGTGCAAAACCCACGGAGCCAGAAGACTGGCCCCTTCCTGCTGACCATGGGAGTCCTGGACAGAGATGATGTTCCCCTTCCACCAGCCCTGCAGAGGAGTAGAAATAAAGGCTAGATTTAGGAGAACGCTCACGGGACGTGGCCTTCAGCAAGGCCACCAGTAACAGGAATCTTGGAGTGGCAGATCCACTCATGACTCATCCACTCAACGCGAGGGAGAGCTGTCCCATCCCTTAAATTGGTTTGCTGTGGTAAGACCACGATAAAAGCAGTGTAGCAAAACAATGGCAAAGCATGCAGAGCGATGTGGGGATATGGTAGAATTCTGCGAAAAAAAACCAAAAGCACAGTGAAGCCACATGAAAACCTGCCACCACATTCGCTGACTTCCTTAAGGGACTGCCGCGTGGTGTCACTGGGTGTACACTGTGCATGCCTCACCCAATCATCAGGAAACAGTTCTCCATTCATTTGTATTAGGATGGCACAGTGGTGTGATGGTCAGTGCTGCTGTGAGGTTTGTGGGGTGCTGGATCTAGCTCCTGACTGGGGTACCTTCTACGTGGAGTTTGCATCTGCTGCCCATGTCTGTGTGGATTTTCTCTGGGCATCTCTACAGTCCAAAGGCATGCATGCTGTCCAGGCTGCTTGTATGCCCACACCTGTGTGACAGAGCGCAGTCCCCAGTGTTGTGTGCTTCTGAGATACATTCTGGGCTGCTGTCCCTTTTACCAAGAATAAGCCACTTTCCGCTAATGGATGAATTTTAGATGCTGCATGTTGGTTGTTTTGTCATTCCTCTATCTATTCTTTCTCACTTGTCTTTCCAATGGTGAACGGATCCCCATTCGTACAAACAAAAATAAGCACTTAAGTGTTGGATTCAGGATGTTCATTCCTAAAATGATGCAGGCCACCCTAACCTACCTTGAGAGACTTACTGCACACTGCAGTCACACTGGCCAGATGATGTGAGCTCCCTTGTCATATTGGAAAGCATTGAATAAAGTGAGAGAGACAGGCCCAGCACTGTTAATAAAAACAGGAGCATCCAAGAGACAGGACCACAGAACCACCCACACAAACAGTCCTCGCCTTTTCACGTCCTCGGGACCTCCACTCCCACTGTTCTTGTGATCATAAGCAAAGGCATTCTGAACGTTTGTGTTCTCACAGTAGTGTGCTTCCTGGATGAGTAACTGTGTTGTAGACTTCTAAAACTAAAGGTTTCAAATGTATCAGTGGGGTGTGCAGAGGTGGCCAGGCTGCATTAGTAACTTTTCTCCAAAATATACTTAAACTCCTGCTTTGTAAAATGAATAATGTTATATATTTCGACACATTAGAAGTGGAGGCGTGATACCTCCTGAAGGTCAGCACAAACAAGCTCTCACTGCACTCTGACTTGGGATGTTATCTGAAACAACACCCAGGTCAGAACTGATGCTTACTGAAAGTGACACGAGCTGCATACTCACAACGGTTCTTATTCCTGTAGGCAGAGCTTTTCTATTCACTTAAAAAAAAAACACCAAGAAAGGATAAAACCTTCTATGCAACATCATGCATTCCAAATCAGTGCTGGACTAAAACCCTCTTTTTTATTTTTAAAGCCTTTAGCCTGTTTCATACACATACAGTACATAGAAATGTCATACATAGAAATTCCCTTCACCAGCAGCTATCACCCCTCCCTGATACTGCAGCTCCTCCCCCTGTTTTTTCTTCAAAAAGACATTTAAAAGAGACAGAAAGAAACCGCAATCTGTCAATCTGGTAATCTGAGATAAAAGTCTTTAAAAGCCAAAGGTCTCTATAGACAAAGTCTTTATCAAGATGTAGTCTTTAAGGCTGGTTCCACTGTATTAGCAATAAAAAAGAACCATATATTATTCTCAGAAGAGCTTAGTGAGCAGAAACTGGGCCTCTAAACATAAGTCAATTTATATTAGAATTTCTATACATGCATTTTCCTGTTACTGTCAGTATGCAAAAATGGTGCTTACTAACAAATAATGCATAATGTACTGTAGAGAGAGCATCAATAACCGCATTTGAGCTTTAAAAGAAAATGCAAAAAGGAAGCATAAAGATGGGCCATATAAAATATACAACACATTAAACACAAAAATGTCAAAAATACGAAGCTGGCTGCTTGGCTTATCGCATTCATCTTGGGGAGAGCGAGGCAGCAGAGAAAATAAATAGAACTCAGTTGGCCTCACTATTGCATTTAGAAGAACGAAGTCTACTTTGCGGGAAAAAATGCAAGCCAGGAAAATTTCAATTAAGGCAGAAAAGGAGCCCCTGAATGGACAGAGTCTCAGACAGGCGAGAGATAAAAGCTGGACGGGTGAGAGGATTCCGTCTGCAGACAGACATGGGAAATACAGCCAATCCATTCTATGGGACTTTTTACACCTGGCAAAGGGTGCAGGGATAAATGAACAAAAAATGCATTTTTATAGCTCAAGGTTCTCCTTTGCACACGTCCTAGTGTTTGCTAACGTTCAGAAAATCCTCTGCTAGGATATTCCAGGGAATCAGGGAAGAGAGCAGAGCATCTAATTTCACATGCAGCTGTGTGGTTAATTTTACCTGTGGGTGCATCTAAACACTTTCTGCAAGGTCACAGAGAAGGAAAGGTCCATTCTGTGGCCTTTAGTCTCCCAGTCATGCCCACTAAACTAGACAGCCTCAGTAACTGGCTACAAGTACTACGTTCCAGAATTAATGGTATGTTCACGTCCTTGTGGCTCGTGTTAGGAAAGTCTACAATCCCTCCTTGTCTCTGGTCTTTAGATGTCTAAGGTGTCACAGGAGGGGAACCAATATCAACAGCACGCGGGCTCAGTGCAAGTACAGCAGCTGAGAAACACATTATTGCTGTAGAGAAATGGCTCCAAGTTGCTAATTGCACTCTTCAGCAATGTTAAAAACTCCATCAACATTACTTTCCTTAACATGAAACCCCGTTAAAATACATGCATATGTTTATGCACACATTAATCATGAGAAACAGCTGCTGTATTGCATACTGTGGTATGATACAGCACACGTTCGATTTATTGGCATTTATTCACACAAAATCTGACCTTCAAATCTCGTAATTATGCATGAACAGAAAGCAATATTCCCTCCTCTCAAGCCCACAAATGATACTTAATTTTATTTGGCGCATGTGCAGAATCATATTTTCTAATAATTATTACTTATTAAAGAAGAGGGGGCTTCTAACGTTATAAATGATCCTCTGATTGCAAATTTCTGAAATCAAAAGTTAGTAAACTCAACGTGGCTTGGGATTGGAAAGAGACACCTGCAGTAATGGAATAGTCTCCTTGATGCAGGGTGGAAATCTGTCATTTTAACTAATTTAAAGTGATTTGTATGGATTCCAGCTTGTACTCCATCAAACAGATCCTGTGGTGCATTCGACTGTCATTGATCCAGCCGTGTTATACCAGGTGGCTGGATCACAAAACTCCTCATTAGATTAGATCTCCTCATACAGTAGATTCAGCATTGCTAACCAACTAACACTTACAGTATGTAGTTTTGCTGCCTAAGGATAGACTACATACATATCATATATTTACATATACGCTACAGATATAATTGTAAGTCTTGAATTCCAAGTAGGAACCCACAGAAATTCCACCACAGATGATACTAGACTGTAACCAACAAACAGCTGGGCTAAACAAGAGCTCTGGGCTGCAAAAGATGTGGTTCCCTATGCACAGCTCTAGGTTATCAACAATGGACTATTAAATTATGGACACATTGATAACAACAAACTAGACTGCTGCAGGTACGTTTCATGGGTCCCAGGAATCCTCATCCCTCAACGGACCGCCTGCTTCCCGGGCAGAGTGAACCAAATCCCACTCAAGAAGAAATCGAACTACCTGGGACTGCTGTACTTTTCGACTCTCCTGATATGCCTCTGTGATGTTTGGGAATCACAACGTACATTACATAATTTCACCTGGTGTGCGAAAGCAAGAAATAGGAAGACTGGATCTCTGCATATTAGTCATTAATAATTAATAATAATTGCGTACACTTATATAGCACTTTTCTGGACACTCCACTCAAAGCGCTTTACAGGTAATGGGGATCCCCTCCACCACCACCAGTGTGCAGCCCCACCTGGATAGATATTGACAGCAGCGCCACCACCTGGGATGTACCGGATCAAGGAACTCCAAAGTTCTACATGGTGTTGGTAAGTAGACCAGCAGGTGGTGCTCCACACTCTGGACCAGAATTACCGAAAGAAATGTGTGTTAATTGCATGTTACAGTGTCAGAAAAGCGCAATGCAAAACTTCACAAATAATAAATTAACTAATTAACTAAATTAACTTAATAATAAATGTACTACAGAGGTTAGTGCTGATGCTTTGGAGTTCTAGGGTCCTGGATTTCAACCCTGCCTTTGGCTCCTCTCTGTGGGGAGTTTGCACGTTCCCATGGATTAATTGCCTGGTCCTCTGCTTTAATCCCTCCTCCCAAAGCCACAAAGGTTAGATCTCATTAGCTACTAAATTATACCCCCTGGATTTTTCCCAAATATGCAGGCAGATAGTCTCCCCTCTTCACTACCTCTCTCTCTTCCTTGCACCCCATCCCTGCTGTATCAAACCATGCTGACAGACACATTAAATTATTTTCCTTATCTGTCATTTCATGGTTATTGTTGGGTTTTTTAAGATGAAGGTGGATTAGGAAAAGTGTCCCTGCCAAAGACGTTTCTTTCTGTATTCTGCTACTTCATCTTGGGCCTGTTAGCCAGGAGACGTGCTTCCTTAAATAAACTTTTCAATTAGCCGAACTCTTTTCTCTTAATTCAAATGATATGGGCACTTTTCAGGAAGGCACATGTAATATTTAAATTACTTCCACCCTTTTGGAACATTTTTCCTTCCTAGTCCTTCCCAGGTGGCTCTCTGCACTCTGAAATGTTCTAATTTTCCACACAAGCCATGTCAGATATAATTTTGGTGCAAAGTTAGTAATTATAAGTAGCATCAATCTGATGTGAAAAACACTGAAAAATTTAGTAACAGGAGACAAATGGAAA